TGGTAATTACTAGTTTTTTTATCTTACGATAGCCGAAGATTAATCCTTTTAAAGTAGGAGATCATATTAAGTGAGTAAATTTTTCTCAACAAAGTTTTTTTCATACACACATCCAGAAATTGAATCCTTGTCAACATACTTAAAGAACTCAGCTATATACCAATTGTGCTAGGCTTTGTTGGTAATTATTAGGGTTGTAGAGGGTAAATAATATTAGAATTATCAATTTAATTCTAAAAACATATTTATAAATCTTATTTGTCAAAGTTTAAATCTGTAATGTTTTAGTTTTTTTATATGAATACTAAAAGATAAATAATGTGTCAAACAGAACTTAATAACAGTACTAAAATATAAAAATTTGAGCAATGAAGAATTAAATCGACATAATTAATCTTGATTGAACTAAATTGATAATAATCTTTCTTTCAAGATTTAAAATAAAATTTTTCTTAGAAATTTATGAATTTATATAACAGTAGACAAAGAAACAAGTATCGCCGTATGCGTTGCAAAAAGTGAGGGTGTTCGCAGTCTGTATTCGATCGATTTTAAGTAAAAATTATCCGACATAATCCCCTTGATTTGATTATTTAATCATCTATTTGATTTAGATTTTTTTTAATCTGATCCAATCCAATATAATTTTATTCGGTTTGTATTGGATCAATTTTTGATTTTTCGAAAAATCTAAAATTAGAGTCATACAAATTACTAGTTATATCAAGATAAAACTATTCATAATTACAAACTACTGAAAAATTCAAGTCTTCAAATTAAAATAAATCTTAAAACTGATAAAGTGTTAAAATAGATTAATAGATAATAAAAAAATTAAAATAAGATAGTTTGCTATTAATAACATCTAAGATTCCAAATTTACAAAACAATAAGATTTCAAGTCACCATTTTTCAAAAATAATAAATACATAATATATTAGATCGGTTTGGATTAGTTCAGTTTTTACCAATCAAATCAGAAACTGATTCAATCTAATTATAATATGCAAAAAAATTTTAGTTTTTACTTTTTTTCAATTTTCAGTTATTTTGATTATCGAATTTTTAGTTCGAATCAATTTGTATTAGTTGATAAACACCCTTAGTAAAAAGTACGAAAAGTTGACCTAGATTATTTTAGAGTTTTAGGATTCTTTGGCTTCTGTTAAAACTATGAATACTGCCTTAGTTCAAGTAATAAAAGAAGGAAAATGAAGTTCTCAATCTCCAACAAATGTGAATAGTATTTCTGCATAAAGCAGAATAGGGTGGGTCCCATATCAAATATTTTCTCTCAACTCAATCTCTTTTGTTTCCTTTAAATTTTTCTCTCACCCGGATGAATTCAGCCATACTCTATCCGTCAATTACGTCCAAAGAATTGTTTAAATTGATTCTTGAGAATAAACTATTAGCAGCGTTTGGTTTTGGAGATTTTTTTTTTATTAAAAAAATAGAATTATTAGGAATATGGTGGAGAAATGAGTTAAGTAAAAAAGTTAAAAAAAAATTGTTTGGTTGAGCGAAATTTTACCTGAAAAATTAGATTAAATTTTGTGAATCTTTATTTAATTCAAGGTAAAATAATGATGAGAAAATGGATGAAAATGACGAAACCAACCCTTATACTTAAATTTTTGAATCTCAAGAACCTTTTTTTAAAACACTTCCACTTGAGTGTGCGTCGACCTTTGAACGTTTTGACATCTGCACATACGAGTCTCTTTCTCTCTGCGTCTCCTTTCTCTCTGCACATACTGATCTTGTGTTCTCAAGTTTTTTTTATCATGAGCTCAAAAGAACCATCGAATCAGATTTTCACAACTAGAGTGAAACTATGAATGAAAACCAAGTTTCAATTTTGTGACCTCACCACCAAACACAATCATCGAAGCAGATCTTCAGTCATGCTTGTCGCCGATTTCATTTGCTATTTCAGATATGTACTTTGGGTGCGTGTAGTCGAGGGTTAGATTGCACGAATGTAGTCAGAAGAGGGTAAATAAGTCATATTTTTTATTCAACTTTTTTCATTTCCCTAGTTTTCTTGGAATACCACTTAGCAAATGGCTTTCTCCAACAGTGCAAAATCTTCTTTTTTACATGCAAATCAGAAAGGCTGGGGAAAACATTTTGATGGGTAAGTTTTTGTGATTCTGCTACCAAACGTTGGCAACATGGAATGCCAACATCAGATGGATGAGGATCCAAAAATAAAACCTGAATCAAACACTACCTTATACAGATATTCAGTAGCAAGTTAGTAACATGAAGTGGTTTTTTTTTCTTACCTATACTAATCACTGATATCTTCAGTTGATATAGAATAATCTTTAGTGAACATTGATAGATGGATAAATTTTAGATTCCCAGAAAATTTAGATTGAGAATTCTAGTTACCTATATTTGATACAAAAATTCTTAAAATTCTTAAAATAAAATTATGAATGATAATCTCATGAATTAATATTCCACCAGATGAGTGGTATTCTTGCAGTCCCATTTGATGGAATTTTTTACATAATTTATAGGATATAAATAACTCTACTTTAATATTTTCATGATTAAAATACCCTCTTTTATTAAAGCCCTAACCATAATACTCTGCCTCACAAAGTCGTGAGTTCCTCTTCCCTTTCACGACTCCTTTGCTGGATTCCTTTCTGCTTCATGCCACTTCGCTCCCGTGACCCCAATGTCATTCATCAAATGTTAGTTTTATAAAATCAACCAAACAAAAAATAAGAAAACTTGAGTCAATATTCCTGCTAATGTTTTAGCCTACCAAACAACTTTTTTATAATAGAGGTAGGATCCTTTGACACCGGTGTCAAATTTCAAGTTTGACACCTCATCTGAGAGCCATTAGATAAAAAAAGATCAATGGTGTCACATGTTTACAAATCAGAGTCGTTGATCTTTTTTGATCTAATGACTCTCAGATGAGTTGTCAAACTTGAAATTTTACATCGGTGTCAAATGATCCTATCTCTTTAAGAATCGTGATTCCTAGGAACAAGAATATTTCCCCTATGGCCAAGTGAAAATAAACAAAGCTTTCTCTATGAAGCTTGGATTTGGTCTCATCAGTAATTTGGAGGATCTTTGGGTGAAAGTGATGAAAGCCAAGTATAAGGTTGATGATGCTTTGATTCCTAATCTCACTATATCTAGGAATGCTTCTAATGCTTGGAAAGGCATTCAGCAGGTTTGGGAACATGTTCAACTTGGGGCCAGGATCCTGCTTGGTGATGGCAGAAACATAAAATTCTGGGAGGATAGCTGGATACTTGGAATCAGTAGACTGATAGATGAGGTACAAACTGAAGTGCCTGAAGAAGTTTCCAAATGGAGAGTGGCTGACTGTGTATCAAATGAGGGTGATTGGAATTGGGATTTGTTGAACCAGTTCTTACCTATGGACATTATTTCTGCTATATCAGATATTCCCCCTCCTAAGGATTCTGATGACAGGGATAAAGTCATTTGGAGACATTCCTCTTCTGGATTATTTTCGGTGAGCTCAGCTTATTTAACCCTATGCACTTCTCAGGCCAGCCATGATACTTTTGATTGGAATTTAATTTGGAGATGGGAGGGTCCCCAGCGAATTAAAGTCTTCCTATGGTTGCTATATAATAACAAGATTCTCTCTAATGATGAAAGGATTAGAAGGCACATGGCTGATAATTCCAGCTGCCCTAGATGCCAATTTCCAGTTGAAAACAGGGATCACATTTTCAGGAATTGTGGTTGGACTAGGGATGTCTGGAAGCACTGGGTTGATAACACAGGCAGTGGTCAGTTTTTTGGACTACCCTTTGATAACTGGATGATGACAAATCTCAAATCCAAAGGTCATAGCTCCGATTGGCACTTAAACTTTGGTGTGATCTGTTGGTATATATGGAAGGATAGGAACAACCTCATTTTCAAAGGTAATAGCCTAGCTCCTCAGGTTTTTTCAATCAAACCTCTAGTCACATTATGAATATTGCTACTGCCAATGATGTGCTGAAGGGGGCAGGACTAGATTTGGAGCCTGTGAGAGAGATTTGGGTTAGTTGGAGGCTGAATTATGGGGCATCTTGACAGGGCTGGAATGGATTTGGCAGCAGAATATGAGGAATGTTGTTCTAGAGGGAGATTCACTGGTTGCAATTCATCTGATTACAAATGGGTGTGTTAGCTCCCATCCTTGCTTCTTTCTTGTTAATAGAATTAAAGAGCTAATGTTTAATCATTGGCATGTGAATATTTTACATACGCATAGAGAAGGCAACCGAGTTGCTGATTGGCTAGCTAAGCTCAGGGTTGATAATAGTTGGGATACTCATTGGTTTAACATTCCACCATATGGGTGTAGGGACCTTGTGTTAGAGGATTGTCTATGCCCAGTTCTGATTCGTTTTAGTTTCTTTCTGCTTTCCATTGTAATCCAAAAAAAAGAAAGAATATTTCCCCTATCAAAACTATGGGGATAAAAATAACTCATGAGAAAAAAAGTATTAAGAACTAAGAACATTGCACAAGCTAGTGACTAGACAAAATAACTAAAATAGCAATCTAGGCAACCATAATCTTGCGAATGTGAGTAAGCTAAGCATTAAGAAGGAGGGTCTTGCGACTCTTGCCGGTTACTGAGGCATCAATCAACAGACACAATTCAGGCAATGGACATTCGATCGGCAGAAAAAATATAATAGAAGATTCCTCAGTCTATTCATTCTAATAAATTCCTAAATGATCGTTTAAATTGGAAAGCATGCATAACCTGAAATCAACTAATTAAGTCTGCAACAACAACAACATACATAATTACATACATTTTAATCAAGGCATTTCAAAACATAATGTTTTAGTGAGGTGACATATGAAAACAAATAAACGTCATGAGAACTTGGACGAATTTGCAATTAGCCCACACAGATTTGAATTTGGGAAGTTTCTTCCCCATCATCTGAATTGTAACTTGTTTGATACACTAGCATGGATCACAGTTACATGTCATATAACTTCAAAAGCTCCTTTCTCAAGTTTTTCACCAATTCATCCTCTGTCATGTTGTATTCCTTACCCATCTGCCATATATTTCCAGCAACATTTTAGGGCTTCAAAAGTTTAAAAAAATTATACAGCATTCAATCATATAATCGAATTCTAAATGGATGATATATATATATATATAGAGGTAGGATCCTTTGACACCGGTGTCAAATTTAAAGTTTGACACATCGTCTGAGAGCCGTTAGATCAAAAAATATTAATGGTATCACATGCTTACAAATCAGAGTCATTGATATTTTTTGATCTAACGACTCTCAGATGAGGTGTCAAACTTCAAATTTGACATCAGTGTCAAAGGATCCTGCCTTATATATATATATATATATATATATATATATATATATATATATATATATATATAATCATTGTTTAATTTACCTGAGCAATAATGGTAATGTTGAGGGTATTTTTTCCAAATGGAAGTACACTGCTACTAGCAATCGAGAGATGTATATTTTTAAGTAGGGTCAATAGTTTGAGCAAGATGCCCTTTCGTTTCTCACAATGGATTCTAATTAGTAGTTCCTTTTCTAACTCTATGCCTCTTGCTTCGACTTCAGGGAGCACTTGATTGGGTTCCCAGTAATCATGAGAGCAGCTAGGATGAGATATAGATTTCTTAATAAAGATCATTGAGTTGGAACTTTTCTTCTTACTTTCTTGCTCCAGCATTGCAATGCGTTCTTGAAGTTGTTTCACGTAATTAATAGCTTCCCCAAGTACAGTGGCCTTGTCTATCTATATTAAGAATATATTGACCCGGTAGTCAAACAAACAAGAATACAAAAATATTAAACTTTCTGTTGTATTTTAAATATTTGACATTATAATTATCGAAATTAGGACATATAAACTATATTTTTGTTTTAAGTAGGGATCTTTTCCACAAATTTCAAGTACCACCCTTACAGTTATTTCAAAATTTGGCCTTTTGACCCTACCATTCCGTTTTTCGAAATATTTCATTAGTTTAGTTTTTTCACCAAACATATTATTAGAGTAATGTAGAAAAATGAGCGTCACATGCTTATGCGTATAGTCGCGCATTTGACACATGCGTGTATTATGTGGCAGATAGATTGAACAGACTGAAACACGTACATGATACTGACGTGATCAAACTGGACTGATGCAATTAGGCTGGATAGACTGAAACGCTCACCTGGTACTGATTTTGTCTAGACATATGTTGTATGCATATGTGAGTGAAACGCGCGTATATGTTAAGTGCGCGACAAAACACGTAGTCACCTAATGGATGTCTTTCTATATTAGTCCGATAATATGTTTGGTCAAAGAACTAAACCGGTGTAATATTTTGAAAAACGCATTTGTCAGGTCAGGATCAAAATGCCTCAAAATTATTAAATCTATATTTCAATTAACATAAAATTATATTCATACTTTACAATTAATTTAACCAATTTATATCTATATGATTTATTGCAAGCTATAAAGTGATCAAACCCACACCAATAATTTACTCCTACTTTTTTTCTTGTTTTTTTTTAAGCTACTAATTTACTCATGCTTATTTTATATTTTAGAATTATTATTATCCAATTAAAAGAAGAATGCTTCGTAATATCCTTTCAAGGTTATCGTCTTGGAAATGTCAACTTCAGAGCTTTAATGCTCATCAAAATAGTCAAATTTAATGGAATAACAGGGCATGCTGCAGAGTTAGTTAGGTGATGAGGAACAAGCACTGACCTTCTTCAAGCCAGGAATAATAGATGAAAGTGCTATGAATTTCTCTGCCATTTCTTGTCTCCTTTTTCTCTCGGACATTATGTGATCATGTGTCTCCGAAGAGCTTCTAGCCCTCTTTGTTCCTTGACTCACACTGGATTCAAAGTTTAGGGTCCTTTTCGATGATAAATGAGGCCAAGATTGGCCCAGTTGCTCCAAGTTGTAAACTTCCTTCAAATGAGTTTGAGTAGAGAAGCTTGGTTGCTGCGTGAGATGCTCTTCAAAGTTAAGAAAAGAATTTGTTTGCCATTGGTTGAAGGAGTTATCATTGTTCATATCCTGTATATAAAAAATAATTCAATACACCACATTTAGAAGAGAGGTATGGATATATATTATGTTAACAATTAGCAAAAATATTATCAAACGGAAAACTACCAAATCAGAGAACAAATTCTCCCAACAATCATCCATAGTAGAGAGTGAACGAACAGGTTTATCGGTTTTTCTCTTTGCTATGAGGAAGAAGAATCTTGATCAGAGAAAGGGTTCGATCAAGTGTAAAGACACAGTGGAGACAAGTTATGTAATAATGTTAAATTGACATATGCAACTTTATCCGTACCACTGGACTATTCACTACGAAACTAAAGCTGTTTCTATGTAAAGATGGATTTAAATAGATTGTATTCAATTATTATTAATATAATAATAAAAAAAATGGTCTCTATTTGGAGCAAAGTTTCAGTGCTCTCGGGGAGCAGAAATTATTTCGGAGGGATTATGGTGAGAGAAAGAGAGAAAAGATTGAGGAGAGGGGAGGGAGAAAAAAGAAAGAAAAAAATATAATTCAAGTGTTAATTTTTTAGTGAAATGAGCACGGTGGACCACGTTAAATTTTTTTCTCTGTTTGTACTTTTTTCATAGTACAAAAGCAGATTTTCAAAAAATAAATCAAAATAATAAAAATTTCCTCTATTTGTAGTTTTTTCATAGTACAAAAGCAAATTTTCAAAAAATAAATCAAAATAATAATAAAATTATTAAAATAATACATTTAAACGCATGTCTAAGCTGCATGTGTTTAAGGAAAATTTCTTTAGGGTGTGTTTGATATAAGAAAAAAAAAATTGGTATCCGTAAATCACGATTAATGGGAATACAATAGAAATTGAGTTTACTTGGAATGTTACAAAAAATGTGTTTGGTACGCCAAAATATTATCGGAAATATTGGATAAAGATTACTGATTCCATATTTGGTTTAGAACGAAATATGACTTGGAATATGAAGTTATTTTACAAAATTAACCCCAAACTATTTTTACTTTTGTAAATGATAGATTGAGTCTAGGTTTTTATGTGTGTTGGGGTATTTTTGTCTCAAAAATTATTGTTGTGCTTTTCCTTTACTTGGTATTCTGAATTACCATATTATTTTTGATAACATGAATTCTGATTTTTCTTTATAAATCAAATTACCGGTAATCCTTGGATATCAGGGAACTGGTTTTTGTTCCTTCTACCAAACATGGTAATTGAGTTTATCAAAAAAGGTTTACCAGTAATCCTTTTGAAATACTTGTACCAAACACACCCTTAATACCAAGGATGAACGAAATTTTCGATTCATCTTTCATCATAATGTGACATATATCTTACTTTTTATCAAATCACTTTTAAAATAAATTATTTTTTTTGGCATTCTTAAAATAAATTATTTACTAATGATTTTACAAAAATAAGACACATGTCATATTGTGAGTGAAAGATGTACTGAAAACTCGGTGTAATCGTAGCACTAAAAATATTCTCATGTTTAAGGGCTTGTATGGATGGACTTATAAAAAAATTACTTTCTATGCCTAATTTGTTTTAAAAATATTTTTACAAAATTTAAAGTTATTTAGGTTTTTTTTAAAAAAATATTTGACTTTTAATTTCTATATTTTTTAGAAGTTAAAATTATTAACTTTAAAATAAAAAAGCAGATTTTCACCTTTTTATAATTTCTATTTTTTTTAAAGTTAACATTCAAACGAATTTTATAATAAAAATATTTTTTTTCTGAAATAAAACTGCTTTTGGTTAAAAAAAAACTGATCTAAAGAATTCCGTAATTTGCATATGATTAGAGCGCGTTTGGGCTTTGAAAACTGACCGCAATTCCTCCGTACCGTGGCTAGTGGCTACAGAACTGTTGCAATAGAATTGATTCCAAATAAGGAAAAAATTATTCTCATGCTATATGAGATAATTTGTTTTTTTTTTTTGATACATTGTCAGGAGGTGTCCCCATTCAATCTTCTCCGGGCACCATGCCCTCGGGGTACGACCCGTTTGGGCTAGCCCCTCATTGTAACAGTGGGTGCACTAAGCTTCGCAACCGAAGAAAGGACGAGACTAATCCCCCAACCGAAGATTTTTGGCTTATCCTCTGGCCCCCAAAGATTTTTCAACAAACTGCTTGAGACAGGGTTTGATCCCTGTACCAAGCAATCCCTTGGGAGCTCAGCTGCCAACTGAGCTACCCTTGGGGGTTGAGATAAATCTTTTTTCTTACACACCTTTGAATAATTATATTACCTTTTTTTTTTAGATAATGGAGCCCACAAGTTTATCTTTATGACATGAGATAATTTATTTTCTTTAACGTAAGATTAATAAAATCCTTCAAGGGTTTATCATTTCTCAAGTAGCTTGAGATAACTTTATCACGTGTCATTAAATCATAATCATACAAAGATGAATCAACGATGGTAAAGGAAGAGAGAGAAAAAAAAATCATAATCATTCAAATGTGAATCAATTAATATAAAGAAATAAATAAACAAAACGACGTAGTTTTGGGGTGGCCAGAGATAAACTTACCTCACGTAGCCGGAGAAATATTTTCCCATATATATATGTATATATATATATATGTTATTCTGCCTACTCTTATTTTGTCTACACCTTTCAATATCGTTCGATTACAATCTCATCCAACGATTGATATTCGCGATATAAAATAAACTTTTTTTCTCCTTTTTTTCTCTTCATTTCCTCCCACACCCTTTCTCTCTCCTCCCCTTTCTCTCTTCATCTGCAACCGAGACCGAAAATAATGAGAAAATCGAACGAAAAAGACATACGACCATCAATTAAAAACCTCACTGTTATGGACCTGACAAAGGTCTACATTCTAGAAGGCCCAAATAGGGCTAACAGCTAAGAGAGAATTAAGGAAACATTCCTTAATTATGCTAATCCTACTACGGCAGCAATGGATCAACAATTGGACCCCCAATGCTCTTGAGAAGCCCAAAAGTCCACTCCTGCCAGGTAACCCATCTATAAATAAGGGGTTAAACCAATAAGGTACACACACTCTAAACCCTCTCTCTTAGCTTGTCACTGTGCACACACCCCACGCCTTGACTATGTCGTTATATTATTGTGCACAGTGATCCGCTTATCTTTAGGGTACCTCTCCTATAGGTACATGAGGGAGGGCAAACAGATCCTATATTAACATACCAATCTCTGATTGGACATATCGATCTATCAGATCGTAACACTCACTTATTTTTCTTGTCCCTAAACAAAAAATAGCTTCAAAATTAAAGGTGATCGGAGAAAGAGTAACCGAGAATAATCCATATAATTCTATAAATCTTAAATTTGAGACAATCAAATTCCAACGTGCTTATTCCTCAGTGTTCGTAGAGCAGGTCTTACTTAATTTTATTGAGCCAGCGTGCATTGTGTTTGTGTATAGAAACTGATGAAGGATGTGTTGGGTTCCTTCAATTTGAAGGTGAGGGATCTAATTCTGAACATTGAATTATCTATTCGTTTATTTGAATTATCCCTTTTCACTCATCCATCTCCAACGACTTTAGAGAGATCCTTGAGTACTTCTTGGTTAGATGTAGAAGCTACCCAAATCGACAGTCTCATAGCAACTCGTTCATTGAATGAAGTGAAGGCAATTCAATTTCTCAAATTCAAGATGATATTTTTTGACGTATTTTTACTTAATAAAAAGTTTCGAAGAATATGATCAGTTTGGTTTAGGGGAGTGTTATATATGTTGGGCTTCCTCCTTCAATGCTAAGCCCAAGCCCATTTGAGGGGTTTCCTAAAAACCCTAACCCTAATTTCCACCTCCTCTATATATACTCAATAGTTGAGGGTGGAGGCTAGGTCAGATTTGAGAGAACAAATTTGAGAGAATTATTTGATTGTTAGAGCAAGGCTTTATGCTTTGCATTTGAAAGATCTCTAGAGAGAGTTTGAGTGAAACATCTCTAGGGTAGTTTGATTATCACCATTGTTTGAGAGGTTGAGTTAACCACCACATTGGTGTATTTGATTATTTGTAACCATTATTTTCATAGTGGATTTCGGATCTGGACTAGGTCCCGTGGGTTTTTACTTCTTCATTGGAGAAGATTTTCCCACGTTAAATCTGGTTGTGTTCTTCTTCTCTCTCTCCTATTTTCGTTTTGATTTTTCCGCTGCGCTGCCTGACCTGGTGAAGTTCAGGCTGAGGTATTGGTGAGATCCGAGATCAGGATCTTGTTGATTGACTTCCGCACAAAGGCCCCTGAGCCGAGCTTGAGGGAACCGAGTTTTCCCAACAGTGGTATCAGATCCCGAGTTCGACGGGTTCTGAGGTAGACGAGATGGAGACCAGTGGCATAACTCATGATGGAGATATGTTCAAGTTGACCGCTGACAATTTCACTTATTGGAGACCAATGATTGAAGATCATCTCTACTGCAAAGATTTGCATGAGCCCATTATCCTTGATGAGAGACCGGCAGGCAAGACAGATAAGGAGTGGGAGATCCTGAGTCGGAAGGCGGTAGCCACGATCAGGAAATATATTGATAAAAGCCTCTTTGAGCACGTGTCCGAATTCACGAACGCGTATGAGTTGTGGACGAAGCTGGAGTCCATGATTCAGAAGAAAACTCCCAGGAACAAAGCATACCTGGTTCGCCGACTTGTTAAGCTTGAATACAAGGACGACATGAGCATGATTGAACACCTGAACACCTACAAAGGTATTGTGAATCAGCTGTCAAAGGCTGATATGAAAATTGATGAAGAATTGCAGGCATTACTGTTGTTGAGCTCGCTGCCAGAAAGCTGGGATACTCTGGTGGTGACCCTGAATAACTCGTCTCCAGATGGAAAATTGAAGATGGATGTCGTGACAGACAGCCTCCTGGGCGAAGAATCCAGGATAAGAGAACGAGGTACTTCGAGTACGTCTGAGGCCAACGTTGCTGAGAACAAAGGGAAATCTGACTCCCGAGGTAGAAGCAAAAGCCGGGGTAGAGGTCGTGATAGACGATACAAGTCCAGAGGTCAGTCAAAGCCGAAATATGAGTTGAAGTGCTTTTACTGTGGAAAGACAGGCCATAAGAAGCCAGACTGCTGGACCCTGCAAAATGACGAGAAGAACGGCTCTGTGAAGTCGG